TCAGGGGGGTGGGAGGTGGATAGAACCAGGGATTGAACTCAGGGGCACTCAACCACTGAGCCACATCCCCAGCCCTAATTTGTATTTTATTTAGAGACAAGGTCTCACTGAATTGCTTAGCATCTTGCTTTTGCTGAGGATGGTTTTGAACTCTCGATCCTTCTGCCTCAGCCTTCCGAGCCGCTGGGATTACAGGCACGTGCCATCACACCCGGCTCAGTATAGTTTCAAACCAATTTTCCTAGTGACTAATAATGTTAAGTGTCTTCTCATTTGTTTATTTCACATTTCTACTTTTTTTGTGTGAGACACTTTCTGTAGCTAAAACTTTTATTCCCTGGGTTCTTTCCAGAAATTTCTAGCTGAGGTGATGCAGTAGTATCGGGGAACTATAAAGACTCCACAAAGGAGTCCTCTGATGGGATTGTGAGACACACTCCTAGGGGGACTTTCACATCATCTGGAAGATAAGCAGGCTCACAATTGTAGCAGCTCCAGACAGTTATTCTTAAATTGTTTAAATGCTTTTCTTTTCACTGAGCTAAGAGTAAGACCGAGCTGCCTAGAGGCTGGTCTGCTTTCCCAGCAGGCAGAGGAAAAACAGAAGAGGGAATTTCTCAGAAAAGCAAAAGGCAATGCCAGATGAAAGGTGCAAAATCTGTGGGATCGAGCTCCCCTTCAGCCCAGTGCTGAGGGCCCCGGGAGAGCCCGAGTTCAGAGCCTATTGGAAACGGATGACAGGGTGTTCCTAATGTGCAGGCGTCCTGTCAGATGTGATTAGCTCATTATGCTAACATGATAACTGGTTTACTGAGTATCTCCTAAATTAGATTGACCTCAATCTCCAAAGAGCATAACATCAAAGGTCTAGTTTTGCTTACTAAAAACAAAAAATTCACACTGGGTCCTAAGATGGACATCAGGTGGATACTTTGGAGGGTTCCTATCCAGATCTGAGGTCACGTGGAAGTGGGTTGTGCTGAAGAATCACGTCAGGAACTTTTGTCAAACTAATTTATTGGCATCTATGAGTGTGTCTCCACAACCAATGTGAGCCCCCACTGCTTTGTGAATTTCATACACCTCTTTTCTTTTTCTTCCCCAATTAGGTAAGGGCTATCAGAGGGCTATAACTATTACCTGTGCTGCACTCTGTTAAAACTTGGGTGGTTGATTAGGTAGCTCTGGGGGGCTCATTTGCTCAGTGTGGAGATGGAGGAGGTCAAGGGCAAGTCAGACTGCAGACATCCTTTATCTTGGGACTTAAGTGAAGCATCAACGTTTCAGACTAGCTAAGTGCAATTTCAAAATCACCTTCTCACCTCATCTAAATGAGAACTAAGAGAAAATGCTTCTAACTGACGCAGTGATTTCTTATTTTATTCTGAAAATTTCCTCCTTAGAAAGTCCTAGAATGTGATCCAGATAGTTTAGAATAGAATCTATGCTGTACCACTTATGCACTGGTGACTGGGATCAAAATAAATGCTCTAATTATCATTCTGTTATCAGTGAAATGTGGGGTAATATATATTACTAAGTGTAATTAGCAAATCAAGATTTTAATTTTCAGTATTAGTGACCAATAATACGAAATTGATTGTATGGACAAAAATGTGGCTTATCAGTTTCTATTATCCCTGACGCTCATCACTTTTTATAGAAAAATAATTGATTAATGGCCAGTTTTTGCATCAAAAAATAAGTCCAAACTCATTTATAGAATTATTATGAAGATTTTAAATTCCCAATTATGAAAGTATATGATTTCTTATTAGGTTAAACACATACAAATATTGGCAACAGTGATTGGAATATTTCAAAAGGTTTATTTTTAAAATACTCTTACCTTAGCCCATGTTTCCCTATAAGGCAGTTACTTTCTCACTCATCACAAAAAAACAACAGAGCCAAGCACTGGCCCACACCTAGTGCACCCTGACTTCTCAGATGCTGCAGGAGGAATTGTACAATTGGTACAACTGGTACAAACTCTTGGGAAAGGTGCTCAAAATTATCCACTAAAGCTAAACATACTTTTTGACCCAGCATTTCTAATTTTGGGTAAATGTCTAACATAGGTAAATGCTAATAAGTAACACACTTACGAGGAAGTTCTTGGCAGCATTATTCACCATCGGCAAACACTGGAGACAAGCAATCACAATAGGAACGTGCTCATTTTCATTTTTCAAATTTTTATTAATATAATTTAATCTCTTATTCAATTTTTTTAATTATTTGAAAATTTTAAAATATTTTTAATAAAATGGTAGTTATCCATGTCTTGACTGTAGGGAGAGGAGAGAAGAGGTGCTTCTGGGGTGCTGGAAGTGTTCCTGACCTGTATCTGAGGCATGATTACACTGGTGTATCCATGAACCACATGTGACATTTATGTGGAGGTGTATATAAAAATTGGTCCCACTGTACTGTCCAGATTTTCGTGAGCATTATGCATTTTATTACAGAATTTCATGAGGACATTCCCACTCAGAATCATGTTTTTATAAAAGTCCCCATGCAATCTTGCATACGAGGGTAGCTGAACAGTGAGAGTGCCCGCAGCTGCAGAGCCCACCCTTCCCAACAGGAGGCATATCTGCTCAACCAAACTGATGCAGGACAGAGCAAGTTCAATCAAAAAGTCAATTATTAATTAAGTTTAGTTCTTTTATGTAAATTGAGGTTGAGATGTTCCTCTCATTTATTCTCAGTGCATCTACCCCCGCCCTCCTTTGCCCCTTTCCTTGTCTATTATACCCTGGACACCTGAGTTAGGCCACACCTGCTGCCCGTGATTGTCAGTAGGATATTTACCCAATAAATTTCTGGAGGAATTGTACATAAAGATGATTTAAGCAGAAATCTGCAGATTTCTTTTTCCTGTGAAAGGCTAAACAATAAACATTTGAAGCCCTTGTGACCAGTCTAAGCCCTTAGGGCCAGATGGTCTCTGTCACTTCAAATCTCAAGTTATAGCATGCAGCCATGAACAACATTATTTTTAAAAAATGGCTTTCTTTCAATAAAACTCTATTATGGATACTAACAACGAATTTTATATCATTTTCATGTCACTAAATATCTTCTTTTTTTAATAACCATTTAAAAACATAAAAATCAATCTTAACTTCTTGGACATACGAAAGAAAGCAGGGAACAAGGAATTTGGTTTCCAGGACTTATTTGCAGAGCCCTGATTTAGAGTCATGCAATTCTAAGTGACAGACATCTCCTAAAGGATCTCTGGCCCATGTCCCATGGGAATACAATACGTGGTTTCCACTTGATTGTCATATTTCAGTGTGTGGTTGAAGGAGACTTCATTTCTCATTCCTTTAAAGAACACTAGATAACAAAATTAATATCAAAGCCTTTGCTTCCTCTTTGACATGATTTTTAAAAATATTTTTTAGTTGTAGATGGACATAATACCTTTATTTTGTTTTGTTTTTGTAATTTTTTTTTTAATGTGGTGCAGGGGATCGAACCCAGTGCCTCACGCATGCTAGGTGAGCACTTTACCACTGAGCCACAGCCCCAGCCCCTTTGACATGATTTTAATACATACAACTTCCATTCACATATTTACAACATGGTCATTGGTAGCCACAGTGTCGATAATAAGCACAGGACTGGTCTAGATGATGTTAGTTCATATTTGATAAACAATTTTTTAGAAAAATTTTATTATGGAAACTTGAAAATAGTGAAATAATTAAAGCAGTGTAATATATATATATATATACATATTTTTTATATATATATATTTGAGGCCCATTAACTAAGTTCCAGTGCCTCCTCCTTCCTGGGTTTCTTGAGGCCTGACACAAGAGGGAGCCTGTGTTTGCTGACATTCTAGGTCAGAGGACAAGTAGCCACTCCTTAGGGCTGAGTTTCTTCAGGGCAATTTCACAGGTTGGCTCCTCCCAATTCCCTGCACTATGCCTAGAGATGTGAATGGCAAATCTTTAGCCTGATTATTGAGCTGTGTCTCTCATTCTTGGATTATTCAAAATCAGAGTTCATAGCTGTTATTTATGTTCACACATTGAACAATGCAAATTATCATATAAAAGGGGAACTTTGCTGCACGATTTCAAACTGTTCTATGCCTTTCGGTCGTCGAGCCCCAAATGAGAGAGGGAATCCCTAGCCACAGCAGCAGAAAAGCTGGGTGGGCCCCAGTTAGGTGAATCTGCTGAACAAGACCAAAAACACAGTGCTGCGCATAACTCACCTCCATCCACCAGGAACGTCTCCTGGGCCTGTGCGCACTGTCCTAGAAGCGGTACCTCACTGCCAGCCCTATGCTCTTGGTTTATGTTGGGCGGGTAGAGGGTAGAGTTGGGAGACCTGAAAACAGGTAAGGCCAGATAGGGTAAACATGAGCCTGGGCTTGAATCTCAGATGCAATCCTCATTATAGATGGAAATGGATACTTCCTAGCACCTGCTCATTGCTAGAACCTTCACATTAACTATTTCGGTTGTTAAAGTGAACAAGAGGTGACCACGACACCCAAAATGTTCTTTACTGAGCGGACGCACAGCAGGCAAAAATCTCCCTAAGGAACTGCTTCAAAGCAATTAAGGACACAAAGGATTTTTTAAATGGGTTGTTTCATATATTATTTAGGTGACTTTACTGAACCTTCGATTCAGTAACAACAGGAAATTCTGCCTGTGCCCTCTGTGCTCTGCACGTGCTCTGGTCTACTCTTAAGCTAAAATAGTAATAGTGTATCAGTTATGAATCTCTGGAAATCAGGGTGTCAGTGTGTTTTCTAGAGGACGAAGGTTCCAGCACTGCTTCTGAGCCATGTACTGTGACAGTCCCAGCAGACAGCAGAGGACAAGTCTGCCTGGGATTTTGCTCAATGAATTTCTGAACAGTGACTGATTGCCGTTAGTTATTAGACACCATAAGCAATGATCAGACAAGACACGTTTCTAACTCAGCCTCCTCATCCTTTTCTGTCTTTCCCTGTGATTCAGGAGGAAGGATGCCGGCTTCTTATCCTACAAAGACCACCTGCCTGTGAGCCAGGTGGTGGTTGGAGATACCGACCGGCAAGGCTCAGAAGCCAAACTGAGTGTGGGTCCCCTGCGCTGCCAAGGAGACAGTAAGTTTTCTCAGTGGCTGTGGCTTGTAATTTTCCTAGCACGTGTAAATCGTCTTTCTGGGCTCCTTGAAGGATGCTAGAAAATGGTTTCTCTTCCATGGGTCCCACTGGACCATCATGAAACACAAGCAGAAGCAACAGAGAGCTAAACAGACCTGTGTTTGTAGAAGAGGGCGACAGGCCGTAAGTCTCCAGTACAGGAGCCTAGATTTGGGCACAAGATGTGGCTATCCATCTTCCTTTCATATTCATATGTAACAAGTTTGACTACCTAAGTTTATGGTAATATAAATAGTAATGCTAATAGCATAAAAGCGGCACTCAACAGCTGGGATCCCACTGAGTGCTGCTGTTAATGCCATTAGCGTGACTATTTATATCACCATAAACTGGGTTTATGGTGATATAAATAGTAGCATTATGGTTTAATGTATCATTGTAAACTTGGATTATGGCCATATAAAGTTTGACATTATTGCTATCAAACTTCATCATCATCAAAGCTTGATGGTCCCTTGAAAGCCAAAGATTGTTTCTGCGGCTACATCTTGCTTTCAGGATTAGGCGCCACAGAGGGGAATTGGGGGCTGCTGGCTTGGACAGCGGGAGGTAAGGGAGTGAGAATGAGGACCCACCTAATTAAGGGCACCATTAGGATTTTATGTTGTTTGATGCCCTTCTGTGTGCTTTATGTGCGGTGACAGGGAAACAGCGACAGGTTGCCATGGGGATTCTGCAACGAGCATCCTGGGTATCGTTCTCCCTCTCTTTTCTGCACATGTGGTTTGGGTAACTCTCTGGAGAGTTCTATGCTTTTGTGATCCTGCGCCAGCCACGGAGAGTCCTAGATTCTGCTCTCTGAGTAACTGGCCTACCCAGAGATTTCCGGGAGGCCTCTCCACCTTCCCCGCCATGGTAATGAGAATACCACCTGCATGCCGACGCCTCCTGGGGAGGCCATAAAGATTTTAATGCCTGGGTTTGTATTCCTCCTAGCAAAGCATTATGTGAGATGGAATATTTTTACTACTTGCGTAAATCAACGGAGAATTAGACCTACTCGATAATAAATAATTGCATCCACTCAAAAAGGTGTCCTAAGGAATGTAATGAGGCATGCTTCACAGTTTACTACTTAGTAAATCGAGGCTGTCAGCAATTAAAGCAAAGGAATGTCCTAATACAAAAGAGAGATGGAGTTGGTACTGATTTTTCTCTTCTTACATTGAGAAAATGAAAATGTTACATGTAAAATTGAAACTGGTCAAAAGATCTTTATCATGCCTTTATTGAACAATATTATTTCATTTGTCTAGTCAGGCTTAGTAGAACCGCACAGTAAGAAATTTAATTTCGACTGTTTAAGAAAAAGACACTGACATAAAATAATAATCAATATGCATTTTTAAACACGTATGCTGAGAGACAAACTGTAATGCTCTCTAAAATTAGACAGGCTCTCATGTTTTGTAGAATGAAAATCAATTTTGTTGTGTTATAATTACCTATTAGCATATAAAGATAAAATATTTCTGGCTTATCAATTCTCATTCTGAATTTAGATTTAAATTAGAGAAAGGGCTTCCGTTAAATAATTGATAAGCTTAATATACTTATGAAAATCCCACTTCTGCAAACCTTTATTACTATTCTTAAGGAGAACGTTCTAGCAACATATAATAGGATAAGCTAGAATATATAGTTTACAGTTAATATTAGGTTGTTTTCTCCTAAACAACAAATAGTCCTCGGGAAGAATTAATTATGGGCCTGTTATTTGTTCAGCACCTGTTGGGTACTCTGGGAATAAGAGAAAGAAGTTCCAGCCATGTTTGAGCGGGGCATGGCAGCGCACACTTGTAATCCCAGTGACTCAGGAGGCCAGGACAGGAGGCAACTTGGTGAGATCCTGTCTCAAAATTTAAAAAATAGAAAAAGGCTGGGATGGAGCTCAGTGCACTTGAACTCTTGCCTAAGTATGAAGCCCTGGGTCAGTCCCTGGTACCACCCAAAAAAAAACAAAGAACAAAAAGTTTGAGAAAATGCACGTGAAAGAATATTGGAAAACCTAAAATAATAGTTTATAACTTATTAGATTCTCTGATATAAAATAATTACAACAGTTGCTCAGTAAAGGAATGACCGAAGTTGTATTTCAGGTAGACTTTATAATTAAAAAGCATCATGGTCAATGTTCCTTTGTATTTCTATTGGAAATGTGATTAGGTCCCATTATAAAGCCAAATGCGACTTCATTCATGGACTCATGGACCTTATGATCTTAGTTTATAGGGAATGTTGCTTCAAAGACTCTTTTTCAATCATGTTTTACCTGATGCTTTGTGGAAACAAAACCAAGGTCAATATTAAATGGTGATTCTGTGCAATACTTTTGTGTTTGTAAGAGGCCAGATCACCCTTTTTCCCAGGCAACTGAGAACATGGACTGAACCTTGAACTTGACCTTCAGGTGGGAGTCAGTCATTCCTGGCCCACAGTCCCTTTAAGGGTGTTCTCACTCGGGTGTGGTAATGAAGTGTTCCACGCCAACACGGTTCCAGTTCTTGTATGTGCCTGATCTCCTTGAACTCCCACCGTCCCGTGAGAGGTGGGCTAAGCAAACACTAGAGCTTCTGTTGTACAAATGAACAAAATACTGCTTTGAAAACGGCATTTACTCAGCAAATTCCTGAGCGCCCTCTCAGGCTCCTGGAGGACAGATGGAGCAGAGGATAGAAACACAAGGTCAGCATTGTTTTTCTAACTTCATTCTCTTTCCTCCATCAATGGGCAATTAAATTAAAATGTCTTCAAAATATGCCACTTGGGTCTTGTCTCACCCTGAGCCCCATCTACCACGTCATTTCCAAACATAGCCTGGATGCTGGGGAATTCAATTCGTGTGATCTAAGAAGTGCAGGGCATTTATCCTGTTTAAAGAGATTAACTTACTTTGTGTCCGTTATTGAAGTGTGTTGGGAGCTACAGTTCAGAAAAAAACAATTCCATTGTTATAAATGTCTCTGTCTCTGAGGAGCTGGGTAGTGACAGCCCTCACCTCAATGTCTTCTGAATTAGGCTTCAGCTCTAGTTTTGGAGGACGAAACCACTGCCCTGGCTCTGCCCAGCCGTTTCCGTGGTTTCGGTTGATTTCCTGTGCCTGCTGAGTTTCATTTTCACTTTGATTCCTCTGAACTCATAGACCCATATAATCAAAATGCTAAAGAAAATCAGTGAGTTCCACCCAGGGATGCTGCATTTCCTATATAGCTCTGCGAAACGCTTATGCCTGTATGATTTTTTTTTTCCCCAAAACACATCCAAATGGAAACCTCAAATCTAAATGAAACTGCAAGTGTGACTGGTGATGGATGGTTTGCTGAGATACGAAGTGCAGAGGAGTTACCAATCCCCCTCCCAAACCATATCTGCTCACCTAGGAAGAAACAAAGGAGCCATTTAGAAGATCAAAACCCAGTAACAGCATAGACATTGTTTTCAAATTTATATATGTGATCTTTCTTGGAGGTGGCTGGGAAACTTGGATGGAATAGATTTCAGTTTGGGGAGGTAGAAATCTTATTCATACTATATATGGTGACTACACCTAATTGTAGGAATATAGTATTTGCTAGTTAATTGTTTTATTCTCAGCCATGCAAGGTAAAGATTTACCATATCTCCTCTGGGGATGCAGAGACTTGAAACAATTAATTAGGAGCAAGTTTGCTACAAAAGCAAGTGTCTTCAATAAACCCAGATAGAAACAATTTTGGAAAATGTGTTGCTCAAGGACTGCTCTTGAGTCCATGCCAGAAACCAACTGGCTCTGGCTGCAAGAGCTGACTGGCAGAACCCTCACTTGAGTCACACTGGGGGTCTCAGATGAAAACTCAATTTCTTAAAGCTGCAGAGGTGGCTCAGAGGCAAACAAGAAAAGGAAAGGCAGGCAGCAGACGCAGTTCAGGAGCACGGCAGGCCTGGGCAACATGCAACAGGAGAGCAAGGAAGCCGGTGATGGAGTTGCATCCGAAGGACAGTGGACACTGGTTCCTTGGGAAAGTAATCACACACTCCAGAGTAATAGTAAGGCCCAAGTCTCTCTAATGCAAGATTTTGACAAACCAGGACTGTATGCTGCCATTCCCTTACCACGAGGCAGCACAGCGCATGGGTCTACTTGTTTTTCCAGAGTTGAAATATTTCCACAGGGGAGCACGTGGGTCTAGCTCTCAGTTAATATGCCACGAAGGCACAGAGGCCACACAACTCTGTGTCCGGGCTCTTTGCCAAATGCTGGGGCAGCAGAAAAGGAGTAGACAAACAGAGGGACAGGAAACGGCTCAGTGGGGCATGGGGACAGTTTTTACTGTGAAGAGGAGGCAGCTTCCTGGTGCAGAGAAGGGTGGGAAGCTTCCCTCTTTGCCACTTTGCTGCTCAGGCTTCCAAGAGACAAGGCAAGGAGAGGGCCTAGGGCAGGCTCTAAAGCAAGCATGTCCTGTCGCCTCCTCCCTCGAATCTCCCCATGTCCTGGGAGCTGGAGAGCTGGAGACTTTGTCCCTGTGGGCTGACAAGGAGGCAGAAACAGGGTTCTTGGGTGGAGCTGGAAGGTTCCTTCCAGAGCCCTCATTTCTGCTCCCCTGGATATTAGGATTGGAGCCGGAGAGGGGAAATATGCCTCTTATGCTCTTTGGGGGTTGACATATCTAAACATTGGCCAAGAAGGGTAAATTATCTTAAGATCATCTCTTTCATCCAAACCCTTGTAATCATTTCTTGCTAGCTTCACATGTGCCTGGGATGCTCTCCTGCCCCCTGCCTAGATAGATCCCACCAGCAGCACCCAACTCAAGCCCCCCATGGCTCCTCCCCACACTGCATTTTCCCAGACTATCCTGCACCCACTTCATCCTCTGTAAGAAAGCCCCAGTCCCCTCCCAGCAGATGGGCACCCTGGGTTAGGTGATACTGACCAGTCTCACTGGATCATAAATTCTAAC